AAGAAGACAGAGTACTAGGCTCCTCTATTACCAAACATCTACTAGACAGCGGTCATTCTGTCGACGTCAAAACAGCGTTTCGAGTACCTGTTCGGGCCCGAACGATTCGAACCTCACGCTATTTAGAAGCTGCCTACATACCACGAGAGAAACCTGACCTATGCAAGCAGCTTGACCACGTGATTTTCGTTTACTTTCCCTCACTTCCCACCCCCTTCCTTCCCATACGTTGATTAATGCAGTGTCCTTTGCCTGGTCATTATTTAAACTGAACTATGACCTTTGCAGTTATATCATTAATTTTTGCGAAATTTCAAACGGTTGCAGGTCCTCTTCGTTATCATCCTCATGCAGAGACAAGATGCAGCTGAGAAGCTGACGTCAATAAATCCTGCCGTATATGCTGTTTCCTATCTCTGAGGATGGACTCCTGTAATAGCTTGAAAGCTCAGCCTATTAAAAAATCGATTCTGTGCTTGACAACCCTCCTTCCTTATCCATGCAAATACCTAGAACGCGGACTTTTTCAGTTCTTCGTTAACTGTCAACGGTAAAATTTGCAAATGTTTGATTAGCACACACAAACCGGCAGTAATGCATACACAAAGACATGGAAATACTAATGAATAACCTTTCGCAAATGTTTACCTTAAAAGTACTATAAAAGCATAACTGTATGCAGGGATGGAGTTCCTACACACTCTGGCGGAAGTGATAATTGCATACTAATTTACGTGTTTTGTTAGTTTTCTTTACCCAAACTTTGAACAGTACGGGAGAGACATTTATGGAAAGGGTTGTTATTCTAAAGTGCAACCACTTCTGGATGATATTCACTGGAACACTGCAAATGCACCTGAATGCCTGCCTGCCTGCACCTGCTCTTGCCTACACTGTCAAGGCCAAATACACGCGCGCAGTGGTTTGGTCGGACATCTGCGGATGCAATGCAGTTGCAGTGTGTTAGCATAACGTTCTACATATCCAAACCCTCCTATTGTCACCCCTGCGTCAAAACCCACAGCCTTCACGACAATGATCACGAGCATAACCGACAGTTGGGCCGTCAATTTGGCGATGTCCATCACGTGCCTTAGCAGGCTAAAGCAACGGGGTTACTCCCACGGGATTAGACTCGCAGATAATCTACCTTCTCTGATCTCTCCCACAAATATCGTCGCAGGCGGTACTCAATGCGATCGAAAAGTCTCCCCAATCAGCGACCGGGTCACGGGTGCCTAAGGCGCCTAAGACGTACACTCGCCGAACCCAGCTCCACTGCTCGCCACATAGTCCCATTGCGCATGCACGAACGAGCAGCTCACGTACAGAACAGAAAAAAATGTTAAATGAACAGATAGCAGGCACAGAAATCACGCAGGACAGCTTTTAGCTTATCCACGTGGATCGAGATCGTAATGCTCATATAAGATGGCATTGACTTCGACCCTGATGTGCCCTTACCAAAACTAAAATTGTTTGCAACATCTGTGGTCGGCAATCGATACACCAAACAAACAGTATCTCCATACTGCTCCGTATACAAACCCATTGGACAACCGATGATGCAATGTTTACGGAGGTAAAATGAATTTGCCGTAGCGACCACGCGATAATACTTGGAGCT